TGCAGTCCCCGGCGGAAGCTTCAGCCTTGAGCTTATCCAAATCGCCCTTCGTGTTGTCGCCGTCGCCGCGTTTGTCCAATAGTCTCGGGCTGGGGCTGGGCTCCCTTGATGGTGGGGGGTAAGCAGGTGGTGGGAAGGGAGGCCTCGGCTTCTGAAGTGAACGATGAACGGCCCCATGGATATGCTTCTGGAGGCCGTCGTCCAACCATTTCACTCCGCCGAGCTCTGGGAGGACCGCGCTGGAGTTGAGCGACCAGTGGGCGTAGACCAGGGTGACCAGCTCCCCTGCGAACTTCGTCTCCCCGTCGTCGCGCTTCCCGACGGCTTGACGGTAGAGACCTGGATTAGCCACGTTACCAGACGCCAGGGCCCACCAGTGGTAGTAGGGATCGCTGGCGGCGAGAAATAATGCTCGCCACAAGCGCCCTTTACCACCTGATTCTTGGACGAGAATGATCCCAGACCCTTGGCCCTTACCCTTGTCGTCCAAGAGTCCGATCTAGAGGACGTCTCCCCGAGACCATCCGTGGCAAGAAGCGAACTCTAGGTCGAATTTCGACCCAAACCACGGGCCCACTCTGCTAACGGCCACGGCGCCACCGAGGCCAGAACACTCGGGCAGGGTGGGCGAGCGACCAAGTCGCTCCGAGAAAAGAAGATATGAATGTTAAGATCGATGTTAAATCAGAATGCGCTCAAGCGATAGAGGGTGATGCCAAATGCCTTGACCCCGAGCCGCTATGGTAAGGCGGTAAGGCATCTGCATGCGTGCATGCCCCCATCCCTGTCTTATCCGCCAGCACTCGCTAACCGAGTATGTGTGTGAACAAAGGTGCGTTACGTATGCTACGTGCTTTCTTGAAAATTCAAAGACCAAATTCAAACAGCATCCACCACCAAGAAGACCGTTTCATGGGCTCGCAGATTCAACTCAGCAAGGCTGCAGACCTCGAGTTTGGACCTCAGGGGAGGAGGTCAGCTCAGTTCAGTTATAGCAAGTGGAAGTCTTCAGAAGGAATCGCGGAACAAAGAATGGACTTTTCGGTTCCTTTGTTGACCAGGGGACCCCACAAATCGATCCCGCTCGAAGAATCGCGCCCGAAAACGGGGGCGAGGGCTCTTGGTGTGATTTGTGCTTAGGAGGGGGCTCGGGGGGAGGGAGGAGGAGGAGGAGGAGGAGGTGGAGGAGGAGGAGCAGGAGGAGGAGGAGCAGGAGGAGGAGGATGGAGCAGGAGGCGGAAAGAGGAACAGAGAGGAGGGGGGGAGGAGCAGACAGGGGTCACCCGATGAATCACAGGACGAGTTGTTATGAGGCGGCCGCCTGCAAACAAGCAAGTGGAAGAAACCTCGCTGTACGCCTGCCTATCGATGGGCGCTGCCTAGCCAGGGAAGGCTCAAAAAGAGAACCAGACATGAATACTCCTCGCGCCCCGATCGAATTCGGCACGAGCTCCTCAGAAGCGGGAGCACACAAAATCCTGCGACCGACAAACTCAAGGAGCAGACCGGTATCGGGTGCATCGAGCTTTGTTGCACAAGCACTACTATCAGCAGCCGCCTGCAACGAGGGACAAGGGGGCTCAGAATCTGGGCGTGGACAGCGGTATGCACGCCTCCTGGACGGCCGGAAGAAACCATGCCCGTCCGCCGGAGTCGGAGACCACCTCCCCTCGGCCGAGGCGACAACCGATATAGACCTATGTTGCTTCACATCAGCAATTTGGCCCCTGGTGACTTGTTTCAAAATAATATATTGGGATGAAACGCTGCCGCTGGATATATCGAGCACAGTTGATCACAACACAAACGCTCCTGCGATCCCCGCCAAAATGGCAAGAAATGGTAAGCTCAGATCCGCATGGCTACATTGCAACCGAACCGCTTGACCACCATCTCGACCGAACTGGCGGAATTCGACCACGCGTCCGACAAAATACGTTCGACGAGGGATGCGCTGCACAATGCCCCGGCCACGGGCAGCGCTACGAGGGAAAGCGGGCCCTTCGATGTGTCACTTTCAGCGCCCGTGAAAGTGACACCTCCCAGGGCCCACTTAAAGAGCACCAGAAAGGCTCCAAGAAGGCCCCGAGAAGGCCCCAGGGCGGCACCAAGAGGGCTCCCAGAGGGACCCAAGAGAGGCCCCAAGAAGGGCCCAAGAGGGCCCTCCGCGGTGTCACTTTCAACGCCCGTGAAAATGACACCTCCCAGGGCCCACTTAGGGCCTCAGAAAAGCTCTAAGAAGGCCCCGAAAGGGCCATAGAGAGCCGCCCTGGGTTCAACTCCGCGTGGCGGAGTTGGAAGCGATAACTTCAATACCCTACTGGAGGCCTCTTAGGGGCCCTAAGACGGCACTGAAGAACCCCATCGGGGCTTTTTCAAAGGCAGAGGAGGGCGCAAAAAGGGGCCTCAGTGAGCCCCTGGTCTAACTCCACCTGGCGGAATTGGAAGCGATATCGCCCGGCGCCTTCATGGAGCCGCTCGGAGCTTCCAAGACGGCTCCAGAAGGCCCCAGGAGGGCCCCAAGAGGATCGAACGACGATTCCTGGAAGTGCACCAGTGAGACCCTTGTTGACCTCCGCCTGGCGGAGTTGGAAGCGACAATTTCCAGTGCCCTCTTGGGGCCTCTGGGGGGCCCCTCAGAAAGCTTTGGGGAGCACAGTGAAGGCCTTCGCAGGGCCGCGTGAGAGCCGTACCAGGGCCGCATGTGTGCGCGGATGGGGGCGACGAGTGCTGACGCTGACGAATATGAGAATGATGAGGGCGATCAAGGCTGGCCCGAAACAAATCCTGGCGCCATTGCAGGCCGCCGATTATCGGCCACGCCGCCAGGACGACGCCAAGCAACAAAACGACACCAACCAACAAACCGACACCAACCAACAAACCAACAAATCGACACCGGCCAACAAAAGGACACCAAGCAACAAAACGACACCAAGCAACAAAACGACACCAACCAACGAAACGACACCAACCAACAAAACGGCACGAATCAACAAAACGGCACTGACCAACCAAACGACAAATCACTTCACGACACCAATGAACAACGCGAAATCCACCGACCGCCAACCAAGCATAAAATCAACCGACACAACGAAACCAACCCATAGAGCCAGACCAACCACTGGATTCGTGAGTCGGGGTAGTCATGGAAGTGAGCCGCTGCAGCCCGCGGAAGCCATTAACAGTGACCAGAGCACCGCAATGCAGCAACGTCCCCGGGCGGCGGCGGGAGTCTTGGATCTCCCGCGGGACTGGAGCGTAGCGAGTTCGTCCTGGGTCCGGTTTAGTGAAGTGAAGAATTTCGGGGTGCTTGCATGGCAAAAACCTTCACTTCACTAATCTGGGGCCCCTGGAGCCCCAGGGCGTTTCAGGTCCCCTCGCTGTCTGGGTAGTCCAGGGGGCGCAGTGGCGGCTTACCAGAGGCCCTGTTCCCTAGCCTCACTTGCTTTCACCCGTGGTGCTCGACGGCCGTCTCGGAGCTGTCTTGTGGCGGTCTGGGGCAATCCCGAAGCCTCTTGGAGCCATCCCAAGGCCCCAAGGCGCCACCAATGGGGGCCCCAAGAGAGCTCCCAGAGGGCCCCGAAAGGCCTACAACAGATTGCACGTTCGCGCGAATTCTTTGTACCACTTTGGGGGGTCCCTCTTGGGGCCCTCGGGGAACGTTCTTGGGGCCCTCCGAGGGCCCACTGGGGCCCCGGGAAGGCCCCAAGAACGCTCCCAGAGGGCCCCAAGAATGCTCCAAGAGGGCCCCAAGAGGACCCCCACAAGTGACAAAAACTATTTGCATGAGGGTGCAACTTACTCGGCGCCTCTTGGGGCGCTCTTGGAGCCGTGCTGGGCGCCACTCGTGGACGACATGGGCTGGGCGACGGCATGTGGACCCTGTCGCTTGGGCCATCGGGGGTGCTCCCCAATGGGGCCACGAAGCTTGTGAGCGTATGACGGAATGGGCTGGGCGGCGGCCTGTGGGCCCTGCCTGTGGGGCCGTCGGTGTAGCTCCCCGTGGGGCCACGAAGCGTGTGAAACGTATGCCGAAATATGCTGGGCGGCGGCCTGGGAAACCTGCCGCTGGGACCTTTTTTTGGTGGAGCTGCCTATAGGGGCACGAAATGTTTGAGGGTGTCATCAATGTGGCCTGGGCGACGGCATGTGGACCTTGCCGCCGGGACCTCCGATGAGCTCCTCATGGGGACACGAAGCGTCTGAGGGGCGTGCCGACATGGGCTGGGCGGCGCACTAAGGACCCTGCCGATGGGGCCTTCGGTGGAGCACCTCACAAGGCCACGAGACTTGCGGGGGATGTGGCGAAGCAGAGACGCGGGGGAACAAGGGGGGTGTTTTGATGATGTTGATGAGGATGGTGGTGGTATTGATGATGGAGACGGCGAGAATGCTGATGATGCTGATGATGATGGTGATGGCGACGATGACGATGGACGATGACGACGGAGACACGCGGAGAGCAGGGGCAGATACGCGAAGAGGGAGGACGAGGGAGGGGGCCGGAAGGAATGACGCGGGGCGGTGTCTCTTCAAAACGAAGAACCAACACTGCAATATGGTAGGAAATTTCTGGACGACCCCCCCCCGTGGCGCGGTCAATGTCCGCGACAGCATCGCTGACACTACGAACGACATGATCGAACTCTTCCTGCGACGTTACCCGCGGGGTGGATCAGCCAGGGATGGGGATCGAAACCGCCCCAGCGCAAAGCAAATGTACAATCCTGAGAAACCCCAGCCCACATCAACCGATCCGCAACAAGCACGCAAGCCTTTGACGACCCCAACGCGCGTGACATCGCATAACGCGACGCGCCATCGAAAACGTTCGACGCGCGGCCTCGGAACGACATCGGGCTTCATGGAACGTCGAATGGAAAACATGAAAAACCGCCCTGTGGGCTCCGAGACCCAAAATTACTGATGTGAAGGATTTCGGCTCGTCGATACCTGGTGTGGCGTGCGCGACGTGGTGGATGGAAAGCGCAGGCCTAGTGCCTGTACGGGAAGTCGGCCGGGTTCAGCCCTCGCTGCGCCAGCGCGCGCTCGCAGTACGCCGCGCACGTCCGCCCGGGCAGGCCGTGGTCGGCCATGAGGCCGAGCAGGCCCGTGCAGAGGTCGCTGTAGTTGCTGGTGGACAGGTCGCAGTACTGCCTGATGAGGCCGGGGCCTTCGAAGGCGGCCGCCTTCGCGAAGTCCACCATCGCATCGCACTGGTAGGGGACGCCCTCAAACAGAAATATCAAGAAGCACTGCAGGGGCTCACAGATACCACTGAACCAATACTTTATGTGATCGCTCGGCTTCAGACCGTGATAATGCAAGATGAACCTGGTATCCCAATTATGCGCGTTCTTGTAATACGGTTTCATATTGAACCTGGTGCTCAGAAACTGCAAATCGTTCTCGTAGAACTCCATATACGCGCCCTGGTCGGATGGGCCTCTGGCAAAATTAGGGTCACCATGGTTGACCACGAAAGCGTGGAACCTCTCTACGCTCTCTCGGAGAAACGGAACATTCAATAATGCGACCCCAGCGTTGCTCGGCTGGCCGTCGTCCTCGTTGAGCTCGGATGAAAAAGCCAAGCCCCTAGGAATCGAATGCCCGATGTCCGCGATAGTGAACGCCCGTACAACAAACGCGTCGGAATCCAACAGTATGCAGTACTCAACCGACAAGAACTGGGGTATGTCGATGCGTTGCCAGGTTCCCAAATAGTTCCCCGCATTGGCGTAAAGGTGGCTTGCGAGCCTGTTGCCCTTGAGGCGCATCTGCTCTATCTGGTCTCGCCATGTCGGCCGGTGATCGTAAAGAACGACACCGTGCTGGGTCAGCCAGCCTCGAAGCTCACCGTCGCCACTGCCGTGGTACAGGATATGAATACTAGCAGTTGGCATGACCCTCTTTACGGAGAGGATCGAAATCTGTAGCAACACTTTACCGGTGGGCGAACTCTCTTCGGTGTACGTGTACACCAGCGGAATGGTGTACGCCCTGAAGACATCAGCCAAAGGAATGCCGAATGAGTTGTACCAGGAGGCCACGGTGTCTCTGATTACAATTTGAGACGCGCTCCATGGGGATACAGAATTGCCGATGAAAACTGGCATCTGCGAGCACAGAAAATAATCCAGGGCGGCACCGACCTCTCGGGATACGGACTCGTCCCCGGTGAAGCGCCGCATGACTCCACTGCTGGCGGGAAGCACCTGCTCTCGAGTGACCACAGGCATGCTTGCTTCTTCCGACAACGCCTGCAGATCCGCTCCGATTTCGTGGTCTCCGACGTAGAAGATCCACGCGCCTTGCAGGTGCGAAGTGCGATGCCTCACCAGGTCCGAGAACGGCTCGCTGCTCCTGCAGTTAGTGTTCGCCTCGGAGAGACGCTCCCAGTGATTGCAGTGCTTGTCCCAGTCGTCGCCGTCAGGATGGTGAAGGCAAACGGCGCTGCTCATCGAGAACCGTCTCGCTGGATACCCAAAACAAGTATAAACAGAAGGCTTCGGTGGTCTCCATAGGTTTTTCAGGTCGGCGCCGACCCCCCTCCCCGCGCCCCTTCTCCGGCCCGCGGAGCGAGCCGTGTGGGAAGGGGGGCCTAGCGCCGGCCCAACAAATCCGCGCGGACCTCTGAAATCTTATGTCGATGTCGTTTATGGTATTCTGACCGTGTTTGTGCGCAGAAGCTCTTCGCCCTTGGACAAGTGGGCGAACACGGCGGCCTGTATGCTGTCGAGAGCGACTCTGGCTCGCTTCGATGGCACCATGGCCTTCAACACGTCCTTGGCAACGGCAACTTCGGCAGATTGGAGGACTGACAACCACGTACAGTTTAGTCGGTCGTGACTCACGTCGTGTGGGAGGATCTTCGCCTCGATCCCAAAGGCCGCTATCTTTTGTAAGAGCACTTCAGTGTCGAAAACAAAATCCAGTGGAATGACATTGTGTTGCATGGGCAGCACGTTCGAGAAAGGGTGCGTCTGAGTGCCATCCAGGATGAACACATCTGGGATCATGACTGGCTTCCTTCCCGAGATCGCGAACGCAATGTTCGCAACATGCCCGAGCATCTGGCTGGACATGTCGTTACAAACTGTGTAATTCGCCACCGCGCTTACAGCGGTTGGTGTGTATTGGGTCCTCGCTCGTTCACTTAGTTTCGCTTCTTGCGAAACTACAAATAAGGCCACCGACGCATCCAGACCAACGCGCTTTCAGATGCTGGACCGTATCCCTGCGTTTCTTGCCCTCCCAGCAGAGACTGGCACCGAAATCAAAAGTCCACGAGGGTGGGTCCATGGCACCTACCTCCCCCAGACACCTGCCGCCCTTCCCCCGCCCATGGAGGCCTCCCAAGGGGGTCCGAGCAGATGGGGCCGGAGGACCACACTGCATCGCCGATGAATCGCCGATGCATACTTGGGCAATGCATCGGCGACATCGGCGATGCATCGGCGACGGCGGGATGGAGAAAATCGGGCTCCACATCGAGCCGCATCGCCGATGCATCGGAGACGCAACGCGACCCTCCGGCCCCATCTACTCGCACACCATGTGGGAGGCAAACCCTCTCGTATAGGAACAGAAGCACAGCCAGGTCAATGCTGGCGTCCTAGGGAATTAGCTTGAGTGCCTCCTGACCAATCAGCCGTGAAACTGCTATCTCAGGGCCACAATGAATCAGAACAATACTCGGGTCATTCGGGCATCACGTAACGAAGCTCAACCGACACGAACTTGACCTGACCCTTTTTCTGATCCCGAACTCATCCGCCAGGCGACCCTCCCGCCCAGCAGAAAACGAAACCAGGAAAAAGAAAATATCGGACCAAAATAAATCGGCAATCTCTGAGATCCGGCAGTTCTGGAGGATGTTTTAGGCGCCGCGGCCAATCCCGAGCGTTCAAGAACGCACAGAGAGAGGTCCGCAACGCCCTGGACCGATTTATCCTCATCCTAGGCCTGCCAGAGCCCGCCCCAACGAGGTTGAGGAACAAAACCAGCCTAAACATAAATGTTCAAAGGTCCGCGCAGAGTTCTTGAATCCGCGCTGAAAAACCCGCCCCTGGCGCGCGGAAGGCGAAAGGGGCGGCGCCAGAGGCGCCGCAAGGGAGCCCAGCGCAGATCCAAGAATCCGCGCGGATCGTCGAAAAAATATGCTTACGCAGCATGTTATTCGTATTCGTACTACTAGAATGACTTTACGCGTTATCATTCGTATTAGTATTATCATTATTGTTCTTGTTACTATGAGTATTACCCCTGGTGTCATTATCCGCATGAGCTGCCTTAGCGTTCGCACTCATATTCTCTCAGTATACGCACTAGTATTCGCTTCACTAGTAAAAGTATGTCCCTTTTCTTATTAGCATCCGTGTTCTTTGCTGGTTCAGAGCATAATTCGTCTTCATATGACTCTTTGGTTCTTCTGGTTACCAATATGAACGATAACATCGTTAGTATGATTAAAACTGTGGCGAATATTGTCAGTATCATTATTCTGATTCGTTTACGTATTGTTACTACTGTGTAGTATGATGAAGCTCGCACTTCTTCAAAAAACTCTTAGTGATATGATTCGTCTTCTCGTTATTAATATTGTCCTTCGTATTAATGTTAGTGCATTCTCTGCTTGTCCGTAGTATGTGTAGTATTATTCACCGTTTCCTGTTTGTTAGTATTGTCATGAGTAGTAATGTGATCGATCGTCTTCTTGTAACAACACTTCTTATTGATAGGATTGATATAATTCTCCTTAGTGCGCCTAACACCCTGTCATTAGTGGCTTAGCAGTCTTAATTCTACGACTGGTATGGTTATTGGTTTACTACTACCGTTCGTGAGTTTACAGTTTTGTTCATCGTATTATCAACGTGTTCGTAGTATCGCAGGTTTCCTTAATGCCCGCAGATCAGTATTACTTATCTGTGCCGCACTGTAACCATGATTCGTATTACTCTGATCAGTATACATGTCGTTCCATATTAGTAGTAGTATTCCTACATATAGGATTACCAATATGCTTAATAGTATTGTTTCACGTCCTGTTGTTCATATAGTATCAACGTTATGATTCGCGTTCTGAAAACTGGTTGTCATGGATTTTACTCGTCGTGTTACCATCATGATTGTTATTCGTGGTCGCCTTCTGTGCATTAGCTGTTCTTGTGTCTTGCTGTTGCTGCTGTAACCCTGGTATGTTTTCATGTTCCGTAAGATTAGCATTCTTCGTGCTGTGACAACTACTCTTGATCAGCAGTGGTAGTATTAATATCATTCGTACCTTGTAAGTTCCACGATTCGAATGGTGTTGCTTCTTCTTTTTGTGGGTACGACTGTGTTGGTTTCTCGTATTAGTAATAATACGCTTACTTCTAAAATTCGTGATAATGCTTCCTTTTCTTCGAGAAGCGGCGGAAGCCGCGCGGCAGCGCCACCGGATAATGTGCATCGCGCGCGGCGGGCCCCGCGGGGCCCCCCCGCAGGGCGCCCGCCTGCCGCGGGGCGCCTCCCGGGGCCTCCTGCTGCGGCGGGGCGCCCCGCGCGGGCTGCTCACCTCCAACGTCGCCCTCTGCCTGCGCGGGGCCGCGGGCCGCCTCGTCCGGGCTCGCCAACGGGGCGGCGGCCAGGCGGGCGGCGACCGCCTCGGGGCCCGCGTCCAGGAGGCCGCGCAGCGACAGCCAGATCGAGACGGCGGCGGAGGCGCACACGGCGGCCAGGCACCACCGCAGTCGTCGGCTTTCTGGGCCAGCACCGTCGGCCCTGAGGCGCGCCATGCCAATCAGGCGCGCCAGGCGTCCACATGGCCCTCGAAAAACCAGCGCGAGATCCGCAGCCGCAGAGCCCGAAGCAGCCCTCGAGCCAACATGGGTACGGAAGAACCCGCTTTGACACCTCTTCCTCCACCATCTTTTCCTCCTGCGAATGATCCCTCCCTTGTTTCCATTTCCACGACCGCCTCCTTCTCCCCCCCCATCCTATCCCCCTCCCCCCCTCCCGTCCTCCTCCTCCTCGCCCTCCTCTTCCTCCTCCTCCTCTTCCTCCTCCTCACCAGCACCTCACCACCACCATCATTACCACCACCATCATCATCACCATCATCATCACCATCATCACCATCATCATCATCACCAGCAACAACAACAACAACAACAACAACAACCACCACCACCACCACCACCACCACCACCACCACCACCACAACAACAACAACAACAACAACAAGAAGAACAACAATAGTATCACCATCACCATCAACATCAACATCACCATCATTATCACCACTACTACCATCACCATACACATCCTCAGCGGCATCGCCATCATCATAATCAGCAGTCTCATCAGCATCACACCAATGACACGATCATCCTCACCAGCATCATCAGCATCCCCCTCGCGCATACCCACGGCGTCACCGGTCGATCCTCGCTCGCAACCTGGCAAGGGCGAAGCGCGCGGCAGGTACGAGGGCCTGCGCGTCGCTCTCGCTGCTGCTCTGCACGCCAGCGCGCAGGGCCTTGCTTCGCACCCGAATGTACATCTGGTACGCGGCAACAGGGAATTCGAAAGAGGCTTGGGAGTGAGCAGATAAACCAAGACGCTCGAAGGGAGAGGGAAGGACCATCGAGTCGAGAAGCTGGGCATCAAGTGGGACCAAACGTGGGCAGCCCCAACATGTTCTATACAAGCGCGCCTCGAAATAAACCGAAAGGCCTCGGCTACACCATCGAGAACTCGACGAGATTCTGGAAGCACCTTGCCCAATCTGGATTGCGCTGATCTGCCCACTCAACGGCCCGAGACATGCTTTCGGGCCCCGCACGGAGAACGCCCGCGGACTCCAGGGAAATAGCTGCCACGGGGAAGGCGCTGGAGATGTTGAAATCGCCAGTGGGGAAAAAAAAAAAACTTGTATTGGCAAGGTGCCTCCTGAGCCCGTCGCCAATATAGTGATATAGCCTCGAGAATTCAGCCCCTGGTAACCGCACCCAGCCCCAAGTTATGGACGTCGTACTGCACCACCTCCACGTGCGCGGGACAAGAACCAGGGAAACGAATCGCAACCGCCAAAAAACTCTGCCCTAGCTCGAGACTTCGGGGATAACCATCCCAGCTTCTGGGACGGGCGGCTCTCTGAGAAGTCGGAGGGGGCGACGACTCCGCCCGCGGGGTATGGGGAACTCGGGGAGCGTCGAGGAGAAGGCTCGAACTGGCCGGTGTAAGTGGTGTAGGTAATCCTGAAGAGCGGCAGGTGGCCGTCGAGCTTCCTGCACGGCAACCGTCGCACCTGGAACTGGCAGTCGACAGCGGTAGGCCAGTTTGAAAACACGAAGAGAAAGTCTGCCATGGAATAACAAGCAGGCAATCCATGCCCCCAGCGAGAGAGAAAACGGATGGATGAGGCTTCCGTGCCGTTGCCTGAAGAGTGTGTTACCCACCCCACTGTAGCTGGGCC